TTGGTCATATACATATTGTGTTTTGGAAAAATAAATTAAGTCCAACTCGTGTACACGATTTCTGAAGGTCATGAAGAAGCTGGCAGGCATGATCTACCAGGTCTACAATAAGGACTATGTCGTCTGCAAATCTCAAGTTGTTCAGAAACTCTCCATTTATGTTGACTTCAATATTCTCCCAATTATTGTTTCGCATAGCACTCTGCAACAAAGCGGTAAATAGCTTAGGAAAGATGGTATCTCCTTGCCTAATACCCCTCTCGAAGGGAAATGTATTTGTGCTGCCCTAATACATTCTGTTCTGCAGCTGTTGCGCTAGTATATATATTCCGAAGAAGAGTTGTGTACCTATGATCAATACTACACTCTGTAAGAGCTCTTAACATGGAGCTATGCTGAACTGAGTCAAACGCTTTCTCAAAGTCTACAAATACTAATATGAATGGCTTGTTGTATTCTGTAACTTTCTCTATTGGGGATTTTATTACTTGTAGGTGGTCATTCGTTCCGAAGCCACTCCTAAATCCAGCCTGCTTTAATGGTTGGTGAAAATCCAGCTTAGGTTCCAGTCTGTTAGTAATTTAGACTTAGGCAAATATGGAAATTGCATATTTTGCATATATTGCATAAAAAATGCAAAAATGTCAAATTTTGCATATTTTTATAAAAGTGAGCATACAGTGTATATAATTTGAAAATTTGGTGTTTATATTCAAACTTACAGATAGCATGAAAATGCCAATATTTTAATTTTGTTTTATAATCACTTGGTATTCAAATTCTTGGTACAGTAACTAACAAAAGACAGCGACTTATAGTTTTATCACGTTTTGTCCTGGAATTAAGGGTTTGTGTAAACCAGTTTATGTCTCTATGTAAACATTTTTATTTGACGATCAGTTTCACTTGGTATCACTTTTTTATAAAATTGGAGGCGTATTTCTAATTGTGAATAATTATTGTTCTTTGTTAATGCCGAAAATAAGCAATGTTTTAACTTGGATAAAACATTACAAAGAGCTATCTATGGATATGGATTAAGTTTATTGCTTATGTTTTGGCAAAACCTTAAGTAAATACGTATTATTTTTTATTTTATTGTAAAACCTTACATGGTGGTATAAACAAAAATTTTAAAATTGGAGATTAAGTTTAATAAAATTTTTCCTTTTTTCAAGCAATTTTAATTTTTACATTTTTAGTAGAGTATTTATATTTTTTTTTTTTAGATTTCATCTGAAAAAAATTTCAAATAGATCAGCATGTCAGAACCGCAAAACATTTAGCTAAAAAAATAAAAACATCCAATAAAAAATATCAACCTTCAGTGTCCAAGTGCTTTCAGTCAAGTTCCAAACATATACGGAACAAGAAACTTTTAAATAAGACTTGTGTCATGCATTAGTATTTTCTAATATACCGCTTTCAAAATTATCTAATGAAAGCTTTAGTTCTTTTAAAAAAAAATATTTCTAACAACATTCCCAGTGAACGAACTCTAAAGAGAAATAATGTCAATTTGTTATACTTCTCAGTTATCCACAAAATAAAAGCCGAAATAGGTAATAATTACTTTTACATATGTGTGGACGAGACCACTGAATCGTCAGGAAGATACATTGTGCACTTATTGATTGGTGTACTTAGCGATGAAACCTTTCCAAATCGTATTTAATTTCCTGTGAGCAAGTGGTAAAAACCAACGCTCTAACAATATCACGGATTCTACAAGAAACATTAGCAAACTTTTTTGTTCCTGCTGCTGAGCCTAATGATAATTTATTGCTTATTTTATCTGATGCCGTACCATATATGGTGAAAGCAGGACAAAATTTTAAAATATTTTATCCAAACTTAATACATGTCACTTGTTTAGCACATGGAATAAACAGAGTTGTGGAGGAAGGAAGAAAAAATTTCCACCAGTTAACTGTTTAATAGCGAGCGTCAAAAAGGTATTTCTGAAATCACATATAAGAACACAATGGTACAGAGATATGCTTCCTGCTGTTCCTACTGCCACTGCAACCCATTTTAAAACGTTGGGGAACATGGTTAGAAGCAGCTAATTTCTATGCTGATCATTTTGTTGATTTAAAAAAAATAATTAACCGTTTAAACGGATGATAGTTGCCAATCTTTATTGAAAGTTAAGCAAGCCTTCCAAAATAACATCCTCCAACATCAATGGTCATTCATAAAATCCAAGAGTCATTGTGTCAAAAAGTTAAAGGTACTATTTTTTTAAAGAAATTTTTTTAAAATTTACAGTAACTATGGAAAAAATAGTGGTTACCAGGTTCTTTCTGAAGTGGTTCAAGTACTAGCTGGGACATTTTCTGAACCACTTAATTTAGAACCATCTATTATAGTAAATTTGAAAAATGCCCCAGTTACATTATGTTGATTTCAAAGGAAGTTTTTCAATTCACAAATATATGTATTCAGATAGAAGCAATAAGTTTTTATTAGAAAATTTTGAACATCATTAATTTGATAAATTATTGTTACCGCAATTCAAAATAATATTGATATGTCAAAATAATTGTATATATTATGTACCTATTTATAATATTGTAAGTATTTTTATAAATAAAAATATTGTAAATATTTTTTATTACATGCATATTTTGTAGATAAATATGCATATTTTGCATAAAATACTGCATATTTATGCGCATATTTCATACTTTTTTATTTGCATATTTGCCTAAGTCTAGTAATTATTCTCATAAAGAGCTTATATAAATGACGTAACAAGCTGATAGGTCTGTAGTTTCCAATTTCTGTTACACCTCATTTTTTGTGTAATATTATCATAATGGCGCTATTCTATTTTTCTGGTGTAACTCCTTCAAAGAGGCAGGCATTATAAAGGGTTTTTGAAGCTTTTATGGAGCATTCGCCTCCTAATTTTAGCATTTCACTTACAATGCCATCTTCTCCAGGTGATTTGCTGTACTTCATACCTTTCATCGCTGATTCGATTTCCTCTTCGGTTATATCTGGAAGTTCCTCTGACCCTTGATTTTGTTATGGCTGCGATTTTCACCTCTGGAATGTGAGCATATCGACGATGATGTTCTATAATACTCTTCGATAATTTTCATAACTTCTTGTTGTTCATATACAGCATGTCCTTGTCTATTTTTTTAGCTTATAAATGTTCCTGGCTTCTGTCTTTAACTTTCGTTTTAGAACTTTATTGCTTTTATTTTGTTCTATAGTATTAGTTGTTTCTTTAGTGTTAAAATACCTTATATCATTTCCTAACAGCTTTTGAAATAGTTTTTATTTAAATTCCTTAGCTCTTCGATGTTCACTGTGTGCTTATCTTTCTTTTCCCTTCTTTTTTGCATTAGGTTCCTTGTGCCTTCTGTAAGTTTTTCATTTTTCCTTGTTTGTCTAACTTGACAGTTCTTCTGTGCCATCCTTAGAGCACCCACCAACCTTTCGTTAAGTTGTTCAATATCGGTTTCATCTTGCACGTCATTCTGAAGGTTTCTACCTATTTCTTACTGGTATGCCCTTGTGTTAGTAATCGCAGTGAACGTAACATTTTTAATCCTTGTTGCCATATTTATTCGTTTCTTCTTTACGTTCAAGACTACCTTCGCTTTAACCATTCTATGGTCACTTCCGTCACTTCACATTTACAATTTACTCCACAGCAAAAATGGTGTTTAGTAAGTATGATGAGTGGCAAGGGCTTGTAGTGGATACCGTCCGTTAACGGTTCTCAAAGTCTTCACCTTATCTTCAGGTCCCGGTTCTGACTAGACGACTAGTTTCTTCTTCTTAAAATACCCTCCTTTGTAAAATGTTGGTGATCATCATGCCTATTTGTATTCTGTTTACAGCTGCTTTAAAAAGTTTATTTGAAAAACATTTTAGCTATTCGCTCCAACGCTACGGCAAAATACCAGTTACATAAGCTGGTATTTTGTTTAGTTTTTTGTGTGCTCAATTCTCTCAATATTTGACAATTATTTATGGAACTTTTTTCTTTGCTCTGATGATTCCATTCTGTTATAAACAAAATATTAACTTCGTTATGAAATGTCTGATTAGAAACAGAACATACAAAATTGGTTTCGTTCGAAGAGCTTTGGATTCGAAATATTAAATGTAAGCTCTGTTTGAGGTTAGTTTGTGGGTGAACTGAGTAGCTTACAAAATACCATAGCCAGTCCCAACTCCTGACAAAGGAGGAAGCTTGAGTAACAGACCGACGATCTGTTCTTGTAAAAAGAACCATTATCAAAAAATCGATACGGAATCGAATAACACCTAAGAATGGAGGACAAATATTTGAGAAATCAAGGCATAGAAGAATGGAATAATAAGAAAGATTATAAAAAAGCTTTTTATGATCAATCAGGGGACGTACCCACTGAGTGATATTTCATCAGAGAGTTCGTAAATTTGTCTGTTTTCTATTTAGTTTTTTGGCTTGATATAGATTTCCGAAGATAGTTATTGCTTTAGATGTAGTACTAAATATTTCACTTCAGATTTTTAAGGAATTGCAGTACTATTAATATTGATATGTGTTTTAACCTAGATTAATAACGACTAAAATTAGCACTACCGATATTGTCTAAATAAAAACGGGTCAAATGTATGCAGGTGTGAAAAAAGAATTTATTCACATTTTTTTTACCAATAATGTTACATTATAATATAATACAAATTTACATTTAGACGTTTAACAAAAAGTTCAGTTTTTTGTCGATAAAGTGCTAATATAACAAAGAGAAGCATAGTACAGGGCTGGACTGTGTTTCTTTAGAAAGAAATATATACAGAGCAGTATTAAGAACGAAGTATGTTAGGGCCGTAACAAATAGAATTGATCCAAACTAGTCAAAATAAAACATTATTGAATACAAATCGAATATTTGTTTTCAAACACACAACACACAGTACAATGCAATACAGATTAGGATAAAATTATTTAAGAATAACTTGATTTATAATCAAGAGAGAAAATTACTTACCTTTGATATCAAATCCATTTTTTCTTCCCTTCGCCTCATAAGTTGTTCTTGTGATTTTGATAATTGGTCTGTAGTCTTTATCAGATCGAGTTTGGTCAAAGTTAAGTTTTTCTTTGTATTTACCAGATCGTCTTGAATGATTTTCAATTCCTGTAATGATAATGATAAAATTACAATAATGAACTATATAAAGTAAATAACTAACTGAGCCTATTAAAGCTGGCAATGGGATTAGATAGGAAAATTCCCTGAGTCCTCTATTTTCAACCCGAAGGATATGTTAGAAACAGCAGAGATGAAACACATAACAGCAGAGCTAGAAGTACAGATATACGCCGCAGATGCAAGGTGGAGAACATCAAGGACTAGGTAAGAAATAGAAGAGTAGAATGGAATGATCATACAAGCCGAATGACAACAAATAGAGTAGTAAAGACGACAAGAGACGGTTCCCTAATAGAAAGAAGATCATTAGGAAGACCACGTAAACGATGAAACGACAACTTACTGGAGGCACATTGATAAACAGACAGAGTCATGTCTACATAAAAATAAGAAGAAGAAGAAGACTATACAAAGGTACTAATTTATAATCATCCTAGTTTCTTTCTAATTTAATAGATGTACTTTAAAAAATAAACATGTAATCGAACGATTAAACCAAAAGTGTGTCAACAAGTGTCATATCGACCCCTACATGGAATAACATTGTAACCAACATTTAAGATATTCTTCACAAATGATACCAATGTCTGTGATTTATTTACCTTTTTACACGCATGTGACATTTTTTCAGTTTAAGAAGTAAGTTTTTAGAGGATAGTTTTTTGAACTGTGTCAGTTACAGTTTTTGATACAAATTTTCTTTTTTTGGTTTAAAATAACCACTGCGTTAAATTCACTGTTGTATATTTCACGGTAATACTGTCTTATTGTTGCCGAAGACGAGATATGACGTTCTTTTTACATATACTCGATATACAAATCAAAAAGTTTATTTAAAAATATTTAGGGTCTATTCAATATAATATAATTTTGTTGTTTTATTTTCTAAGGTAATGAGACTCTAGGTCTATTTACACCTACCATCCTCACAATAATGCCAAGAAATTATGGGAACTTAGATGCGAATGCGGCGAATAAAATTGTAACTACAGTTAAGGTGTAGTTTTTGAAAAATGAGAATTATTTTGATATACTGTGGTACGATACAGTATTTTTTGACGAAAATTGGATTTGGTTCTACGTTTTATCTGTGGTTACTCGGTTATTCTATAAATCATTCAAATATTTTTTATATTTACGGTACCATTGACCCACACTGACGATATTGGCGGATAGAGCATAAAAGTTGTATACGAAGAACACTGTAACTCAAAATCGCCAAAAGGGTTGGTCGATATAAATCTATAAAGGCAACTAAATATCAACAATAAAACAAGAAAAAGAACAAAATGGCGTCTAACAAGAACGTATACTCTTATCCGGTATCAGATAGGAATATCATCAGCTAGTCATTCATACGAAACGAAGTTAATGCAGGGTTTAGATTAAGCAATTGCTGCCTAGAAATATTATTCCATGCAGATGATGTTATCCTAGTTGAAAGTGGACCATAGTTTAAAATAAATACGATCTACAGGTTTCACAATATGAAATCTCGTGTCAAAAATCCAATATATGCTAATATCCAAAGATCTGACACGATGTAAGTTGGTAATAAATGAGCTCGCTGTAAATCAGGTACTGAATTTCAATTACTTAGGATACAGATATCGAGCATCAGAAGCAGAAAGAATGAACTGGACCTTTAGATTAGAAAAGCCTCAAGAATATAAGGGTATTTACAGGACATAATATGGAGAAATAAATACATGACCATAGAGATTAAGAAGTGAATTTATAAGAACTGCGTCAAGACCATATTAAATGGTAGGATACGTAAGGAGGATACGCTAAGAGAATTGGGAGTGCAGCACGTTGTCACATGGCTAAGATCGCTGTTTTTGAAGAGACCCCGTGAAACGGATCCAGAATGAATTGCAAACTGGCCCACAAAACATAAATCATAATCAAGACGTTCACTTGGTAAGCCCCCAAAACGTTGGTATGACAGCCGGATATTAACGTCACAAGAAGACAGACTACCGAAATGATAAGTCCTCATCATATTAAAAGAAGGACAAGAAGAAGAAGAAAAATAAGAAGAAAGTAAAGGCTTTACTTCATAACCTTTTTGTTTTAGAATGTGGTACTACTAACATAAATGATTCTAAAACTAAAATTTCGCCAACAAAAAGTTTTCGAATTGTATGTTAGATATATGATCTCTTATTAAACTGTTAGCATAATAAAATAGCTATATTTAAAAGATCCTTGCCAATATCACGTAAATTAGAAATGAAAATCGATCCTATATTACACCTACATTACAATTTATTATAAAAACACCAAATTTGATATCAAGACCTATGTAGGGAAAACCGGCGCTTCATTCTAATATTTTAAAGGCTGTAAATACCCACAAAAATTTTTTATATATCATTAAGCACTGAAGTGACTTAAGTAGTAAACGCAGTTTAGTTCTAGCGTTGCAATTGTCTTCGTATTTGATGTTACAAATTATTTAACAAACATTCAGTGCGCGGTTATAAATTATTCTATTCTTTTTACAGGGGAATCTTTTGTTAGTGATATAAGTGAGTGACTATTTGTAACGTGCAAGATAATTCAGTGTGATAATTTATTTCGACTTACAATTTTGGATATTAATTTAAAACTATAGTACTTTTGCGAGGTAAGTGAATTTTACAAAGACAAGATCGAAATTGGAAACACTATATTATAGATATTTGAGATTTTCTTACCTGCATCAAATTATTATTGGTTATTTCTAAGACGCTAACTTTCTGGGACATATTATGGCATTCCTGTAAAGCCTGATTTCGCCTTTCACATTCTGACTTTCTCATGCTCTTTAGAAAATCAACTTGTAATTCCAGTTGACTAATCTAAAAAAATAATGTAGTTTTAAAACGTTTTATCAAACATTGTTTATTGACATTATTACGAAGATCAATAGAAATAATAAGCATTAAAACTATTGTAACCTGAATGAAATTTCATTTAACAAAATCAAATATGTAGACGATACCATCATCATTGCTGAAAATTTGAACGACTTACAAACATTACTAACCAAAGTAGTAAAAATTAGTGAAAATAAAAGTGTTCTGTAGACTAACGAGAAACTTCATACAGTTTTCTTTATTTTTAAAATTTAAATAATATTTGTAGAATTGAGTAAAGTAATTTTATTATTCATTTAAACTTCAAATTGATAAAGTATACATGTTGTACAACGACTCTCCTCGTGACGTACTTGGACTCTTCCAAATGTTTACTGCGACGACTATTTCGTCAAAAGTCATAGGCTTTTAATATGTTTTGCTTTAGAAATCTCTTCCAAAGCGTCAATATGAAAATTCAACTTAAAATATTTTGCTGATAACTCTTTTTGTCACACTTCTCAATTGGGATACTGAACTAATTTCACTCTAAATAGAGTCAGAAGAAGAGCCAGATAGGCTAAATCTTTTGGTACACAGAGCAAGACTTCCTCCCTTACACACGTATAAAAGCTACATCAAACCTATTATTGAATATAGGCAGGGGCGGATGGGCAAGTAAAATTCTATCGGGAGAATAAACGACGGCGGCCCAAAATTTAAATATATATATATATATATATATATATATATATATATATATATATATATATATATATATATATATATTATATATATATAGGTATATATATATATATATATATATATATATATATATATATATATATATATATATACATGGGAGTTTTTTTGATTTTTTTAAACTATAGAAACTTGGAATCTAAAATACAAAGTTTGCTCTAGAAAATTCTATATTAAGATATTTAAGATATATAAATAACAAATTAATGTGTTGTAAACTATAGGTGAATGAAATATCGTTTTACATTATATAGCTATCACTAAATGGTAACCTATTATTTATTATATTAATACATTAAAGCGTCCTTCATTAATTTGGTTGTTTGACCCAAACGATTAATAATTTCATCATTGTTGATATCGCTCAGTATATCATTTTCAATATTCATCAGCACGAACGACTCGAGTCTATTATCAGACAAGGAGTTTCTAATCTATTTTTGATAAATTTTAAAGTTGAAAACGATCGTTCACATGCCACTTGCGAGATGGACAATAAAAGTATATATTGATAAGCCAATACCAGCGTGGAATAAGCCCCCTTAAACAAATTATATTTTAAAATTGAACCGTAGCAACAAATGACACAGTTCTGACATTTGTTAGATTCGATGCACACCCTTGATTTTGTACTCTGTTTTGTTATACAGTCATCTTCGTCTACATCTGACTGTGCAGAAGAAAAGTCGTCTAACCCCACATCAAGTCTAGCATAATTTATTTCATATGAATCTTCAATTGTTAATTTAATATGTTTTCCAGTTGCTTGCAAAGCTTGCTAACTCTTCTTTCAACTTTGCAGGAGTTGCAGAAGAATCAAACTGTATTAATTTTCTGACAATATTTTTAGAGAATTCTCAGGTAGCTCACCTTTGGCGATTTCTTCAAAATTATTTGGATCTAAAATGTTCAGATCCCTACATAATTCAGCGTTGTTTGCAAATCTTCTACTGATTGATTCTACTGCAGTATCCGCAATAACGTTAAAAAAACAATTCTAAAATTTTCTTTTGGGCTTACTGGGATTTCATCAGAAGTTTTCTCATCAAAGAATTTCTTTTTCTTTTTTGATCGAAACTCGGGCAATTGTTCTTCAATAAAAAATTCGAAGTCTCTCCTTTCAAAAGAGAGTTTAGCCCACCCTACAAATTTATCTGCAGATGCTTCAATGTCTGGAAAATTTCGTTGCATTTTTTTTAAACTCAGTATAGCATCATTAACCATAAAGTTACATTTTAATAAATCTAATAATAAATCAGTCGCTCTTGCATCTGGCTTAATTTTTTGTGAATTTTTAATTGTATTAAGAATGTCAATTAAATCAACGTACAGTGCTTTATTAGGTTCATTAAAATTACCAAAAATTTTACTGAGCGCTGCTTCCTTTGACCACCAACGAGTTTCTCCTATCAACTGAAGTTTCTGTGATCTAGCATTGTTGCCAATGTCCAACCAGTAACCCATGCGTTGATGAGATTCTTTAAAAAATGCTACTATACAATTCAGTAATGAAAAAAATGATGCGGCCTTAATGTGGGATTTAAAAATGTCTGTCAGAACAAGATTTAAATTACGCGCATAACACCAAACATGAACATGATTTGAATTTTCCTGGACCATGAAACTGGATAATCCCGAATATCTCCCTTGCATATTAGCCGCCCCATCAGTAGAGTCAGCAATACAATTTTTTTCATCCAAACCATTTTTTACCAGTATGTCATGAATCATGGTATGAAATCCCTTCCCTGTTGAATTGTGATAAGGAAGAACTGCAAGAAGGGGTTCGTGAATTGTTCCGTTGTAAACATACCTGAAATAAAATAAAATAAGCAAAGGTGAAGATTTTATTATACTTACAATTTAACATACCTTGTTACAACTGAACATTGGTCTGTTACTGAAATATCTTGAGTGCTGTCTATTTCTATAAAGAACATAGTGGCAGTCTGTATCTCTGAAGAAATCTTCTTTAGAATAACTTCTGTGATTACGACAATGATTGAATTTACAGTGGTTTTTGACAAAAATGTGTAGAAATTTTCAGCTCGACGTTTGATTTTTTCTATTGTGATAACTTTTGCTTTTTTTAACAATGGCGTCCAAATGTTTCTTCAAAATAATATCAAATTTCGATAAAAGTAAGATTATTTCATATAACATCAATAATAACATCCAAAACGTGCCGATTGCTTGCAACTTTTTTATTTCTCATTTCAACAACGTTTCCAAAAAGTATTTTTTCAATTGTTTGATTTTTAATATACATGAAATATGTTTCGCAGTTTTTTCCATGACTGATTGAACTTTCATTCTCATTTATTCGCTGATATACATGTTTCCAATCAGACATACCTCTTGCAAAAGCAGAACTTTGATCTTTATTACTCTCAACTGAATAAGCAAGACAAATTGTGCAGAAAAGTGCCTTTCTTTCTTCACTATAGCTCAACCATTTCCTTTTTGTTTTATTATTACGCGTAAACGCTTTTTCCACATTAAAAGGTACATCTTTTTGTGCGACAGGTACCTTTGGATGGAATTAAAAAAATAGCTGTAATTTATTGGGATCGGGACGGTCGAAGAAATTGCCAGATTCTGTCTCTTCCGGCTGTCCCAGCTTTAGTAGCGCCTCTTCGTCTTTAAGTGCCTTTTTTACATTAGCTTCACTATCGCTTTCATCACTTGTCTCTATGTCGTCGTCCGAGTCCTCTGACAGCTTTAACTCAGTTTCAAATTTAATGAAACCGGTAAATTTTCTTCGGATTTTTGCTCTTGCTCTTGTTTTTTCCGTGTTAATATCACTTTCTACCCCTGAAGTTGAAGGAACAGAATAACTATTGAGCAAATTATCCAAAGAGTGACATTTTTTTGCTATTTCACATCTTTTTTTTTCTTCTCCCTTTCTAGTTTTTTTTCTTGTCCTCCTTTTCGTTTTGGTGGCATTGGTATTTGATTTTTTATTCACTTAGTATATTGGTTCTGACGGCTATCATACAAGCAGTTTTCGTCCTAACGTAACAAATTTCATAATTATTGAACAGCTAGAATAGGCGCTTTTTGAGCATGTTTATACAGAGTATTTCATAACTATACCTACAAACCTTTAAACGTGGTAGGAGACATCACAACCAACATTCTTGCTTTATAAACAAACGCCCAAAAACGATTTGTTTGCGAATTAGACGTAAAAAAACACTTGAAAGCAATAGATTTTTACAAATTTTATAGTTTTTTTACAGAACTTAACAATATTACAAAACACTAAAAGTAAGTAAATTTTTTGTTTGGGAAAGACGATGAAACAGAGTGTACGAGAAAATATTTTATTCGAATGATTTAAACAGAAAGCTTGCACCTGCCTAATTTATTAATGTGTTTATTTAAAAAAAAAATACGAACTTTTAGTACAGAATAACACCTTGTACTGTTTATCCGCGACTTTCCGGACACGGTGTATAGTGTTGAAACACCCTGTATAGTAAAAATTATTTTAAGGCCATTCCTCGCGATTCTGGGCATAACTAAATTCCAATGTAAAAGTTTATATCAAATAACGCAAAAACTATGGCAGATATTGAGATGATTCTTTTTTTATATGAAAGGTCTTAAAAAGTTCTAGTGCACTATTTGATTGTAAATTAATAAATTGTTTAAACAATATTTTTTTTTAAATATTTTTGGTTAAAATAAACGTAAAAATTTTTTTTTTGAAATAGGGCACTACAGAATTTTACCCACTTTCCGAATCTGTTTTTTATTTTTAACATAAAGTGTAAAACAAAGCAGCTATTTCATATAAACTATTTAAAAAATGTTAAATTGTGCTAAATGTACTCTCTCTCTCGGTCAGTACAAGCTGTCCTTGTTGATAGTTTCTAGACTCTCGCCGACGAGTAGGTAAGAAAGTTGGAGGGTCATAAATAATGTTGAATAACATTATTAGGGCTTATTTCGACTTTTGACTAGTTTTGACAAATCAGTGTGTTTTGTTGTTTTTAAAATGGGTAGTTCGCGAAGACGTTTATGCTCCGGACGAAAAAGTCGACGACGATTGAGGAAATTTTATATAAATAAGCAGTAAGTACCTATAATTTGATTAAATTTTTATATGAATAGAAATATTTTCTGTTGAGTTGTGACATTTTCCTTCTAAATGCTTATACTGTTTTTATAATAATACTATTGTTTCAATATTTACTTATATAATTATAATTTATTATGTAGAAACAGAGTAGAAT